AAAGTTCCCTGTGCTTCTGTCATTTCCCCCTTCCCAGCAATCATTATTTTCATTTCTTTTGCCCTTTTATTCCTTTTCTTTTAGTGCCTGTCATGCCTCAGGTGGACCAGTGACACTGCAGGCACTAGTTTCATAGCTGGCAATTGGGAGCAATAGAAGTTACTGATTCCCAGCTGTTGAAGTATTTTCTTAAATTTATAACCTCAAAGCAACAAAGGCTTGTTGAGGACCTCCTAGCAACTCTACGCAATGCTAGGCATCAAGTTGTATACAAAATGTAGCATGGTCCCAAATCTAAAGAAACTGACATTCTCTAGTCCTTTAAGTTACTGGGAGAGGAAGGACCCCTGCCACTCAAGCTCAACAGAATTCTAGATCGGAGTAAGGCTTTGTTAACATATAACAAATACAATAAATAAAGACCTCTACAATATGTTCCTAAAACTATCAGTTAATAAAATTTTGTTGAAAATCTGCACTGTAGCTTCTCTGAAGAATTTACAAGTGCAATCATTGCCTTTTGTCAAAGAATGCTTGCATGACAACACCTCTTCTTAGTGTTGGGGCTAAGGAAGTTTCTGAGTTTGGTTTTTGAGAAGGCAGTTCATTCACGTTTCACATTTTAGAGATATAGAAGGTCTATAGTGACGTGTCTCTCACCCTTTCTCCCCCTGGACCCAGAACTCCTTTCTTCAGGTAACCAATGTATATATCCTTGCAGAGATTTTTTTCTTTACATATCTCTATTTATATATAATCTATAGTATATGTAAGTGTGTAGGGATATATACATTATATATATAATCTATATTATATATAACGTGTATATATATATATATATATATATATAATTTCCTTTCTTTTATACAAATGCCAACGTTCCATAAACACTGTTCTACAGTTTGCTTTTTTCTCTTTATATCTTAGAGATCATTGCATATCATTAAATAAAGAACATCCTTATTCTTTTATACCAAAATTGGTGACTAAATTATTTCTACTTTTTTTTACTATTACAAACAATGCTGCAGTGAATAACTTTGCACATAAGCCTGTATGCATTTGTGCAAGTAAATTGAGTGGATTAATTCCCAGATGTGGAAGTGCTGTATCAAAGGAGTATGTACACTGGTAGTTCCAATAGATTTTGTCAGCTTACTTTCTATGGCTCCTATGAGCGATACATGTGCGTATGTCCCCCCACACCCTCTTCAATTTTTGCTGTTCTGATAAGTGAAAATGGAATCCCAGTTTAGATTTTAATGTACATTTCATTTATTATGAATAAGGCTGAGCATCTTTCTGTATGTTTCAGAGTTGTTTCTATTTCCTTTTCTGTGAACTTTCTGTTCAGTTCCTTTGCCCATTTTTTTCCTATTGGTCATTGATCTTTTTCTTAATGCTTTGGTGGGTTTTATAGAGTGGGGATAATTGCCCTTTGTTGGTGCTATGAGTTGCAAATGTTTTTTCCCAAGTTTTCATGTGTCTTTTGAGTTTGCTTTTGGTGGTCTTTGCCATTCAGATTTTGTTATGTAGCCAAATTTTTTTTTTAATGAGTATATGTGTTCTTTATTAGGATGCTCACAAGAGTGAGACACATTAGCACTGTTCTTCTGATGTGATAGAGAATACATACATCTGACCCACATCATAGCAGGAAATAGGCAGGGGTAAGGGCTCTCAGAGCTGGTACCAAGTGTCCACTGAAGAAATCTCCATTCACCAAAGCAAGGATGTTTCCTTGAATTCCATCATCTCTGCTGTAGCTTCCGGTTCTCCATGACTGGCCCAGAATCCTCCATTCCAGAACCTCTTGCCACACCTTCAAGACCTAGGTCACCTGTCCCATGTCTCACTCACCGAGGCGCCTCTGGAATTTTGCAGCATATCTCTTTGGTATGTTGCTGCCCTGCCACCCTCAGAGGCGTAGGTGGGGGTTAGGGGGAAATATATTACCGATATGTAGCCAAATTTGTAAGTTTTTATTTGATGGCTTTTGAATTATAGGTCATGATTATTTAATGGCTTTCGGATTGTAGGAACATTTCGAGGGAGGCAGGGTCTATTAGTCTAGCAAACTTTGAAGAGGAGTGGAACAAAGAACAGCACGGGAACCTAAGATGGGGAAATGGATAACTTGTCAGAGTCAGGGCCTCCCTTATAGTCTTGCTGTTCAGCCTGACATGGATCTCAAGTACCATTGTATCAGCAGAGTTCTTGTTCCAGACAACAGAAACTGACTAGTTAACTTAAGCAGAAAAGGAAAGATACCAGGAAGCTCACAGACTCTAAGAAAAGGGTGGATAATAGAGGCTCAGAAAATAAACAAGAGCAAGGGAACTCGTAGCCAAGATCCTGCACAGGCCTAGACCTGGTTAGGGTTGCTGCTGCCAGTGGCATTACTACCACTAGAAACTGGATCCTGACAGCAGAATGAACTAACTGTCCCCATTTCATTGTCACTTGTCTCAGATTTGCTATATCTGTTGCATCGGATTCAAAGTTCCAGGTAAAAGTATTTAGTTGGCCAGACAGTTGTGAAAATGATAGACAAATGAAGCTTGAAATCTTAATTTAGCCAAAGGCTGGTGAGGAAATAGCTGATATGAAATTATTTAGAGTTCTTATTATACTTCCCTTTCATGTAAAAATTACAACCTTGTTAAAGAAGACGAACTGCTCTGAAAAAGTTTCATATTTTGTTCATTCTAAAAATAGATACTTGAATGATAAGTTTTATTGATGGCTTTAGTCAAAGATGAGTTAATTTCTAATACATGCTGAGATGAGATCATTTCGAATCTGTCCACTGCAACATTTTGAGTTTGTTGTAGGAGAGGTAATGGTGCATTTAGCACAGTTTTGTTCAGTATTATTCAGTGTCTGTGGTTTCTGTGGGAACAGACTTAACATTGATCTGGATTCTCTGAGCATCTTTTTCAACGTGCAGTTATTTCATAACGAAAGAGCCTGATTGTATTATTAATCCAGTTTTATACCACAGTTCTGCTACAATGCAGCTTATGTGTTTCTACACTCTGCAATAAAACCCACAAGGTTTATGGAAAAAAAAAATAAGGTTGGGGCACAACACTCAAAAACTTCATCAGCAATACATAAAAAATCATAGGAACCTATCTGCATATGTTAATTGGTTAAAAGATACATAAATACTGCAATAAACAGGACACTATACCTTTTAAAAGACCTGGAGTTGGGCTTCCCTGGTGGCGCAGTGGTTGAGAGTCTGCCTGCTGATGCAGGGAACGCGGGTTCGTGCCCTGGTCTGCGGAGCGGCTGGGCCCATGAGCCATGGCTGCCGAGCCTGCGCATCCACAACGGGGGAGGCGACAACAGTGAGAGGCCCGCAGGAGTTCAGAAGAATTGTAGCTTATGAGTTGTTCTGAAGTAGTGGTAGGAAGGTAATAATACAAAATCAGATGGGAAGTTATAACACCAGATGTGGGTGGGTGCTGCTCACAGCACACATGGTGAACTGAAGTTGCTAGAAATGTTTGAGATGTGTCCATGTATGTTTTGAGGCTCAGAGCAACTGGATGCAGGTTTCTGTATTCACCTAGTGTATTTCATGGACACTTTGCCCTCAAATTGTTCCCTCTTATATCAGATGCATTGGAACAAATTTATGTTTTTTAAAAAAGCATCGTAGCAGAACGGACTGTATTTTTACTAGAACAACTCACAATGTATATTTTAGGGGGAAATGAGTAATATTTGACTTTATACCATTAAAGAAATGGTTTGAAAATGATCTTCCTTTTAAAATTAAATGTATTACATTTGCACTATATGTACTTTATTATTAAGCTGAGATACCTCCATTTGAATGACTTAGGAGTTAGATGCCCTTAATTAAGAAATAGAGTAATACTGTACTGGCCCTCTAATTGGTTAATGGAAGCCCTTATTGGAGGTTAAATTTGGTTTCAACTACATATACATACAATGGAATATTATTCTGTCATAAAAAGGAATGCCATTCTGGTGTGTGCTACAGTATGGATGAACCTCGAAAACTTTATGCTAGGTAAAATAAGCCAGGCACAAAAGGATAAATATTGTATGATTCCACTTATATGAGATACCTAGAACGGGCAAATGCATAGACACAGAAAACAGAATAGAGATTACCAGGAGCTAGAGGGAAAGGGGAATGGACAGTTATTGTTTAATGAGCACAGTGACTGTTTGGGATGATAGTGATGAAGTTTTGGAAATAATAGATAGTGGTGATGGTTGTATAACATTGTGAATGTACTTAATACCATTGAATTGTGCACTTTGAAATGGTTAAGATGGTAAATTTTTATGTTATATGTATGTTATCACAATAAAAAATCAGTTTTATTTCCTCTGTTATTTGTATCTTCAACATTACCTGTATGTACCACTATTTATACAGAGATACTGTAACTACTTCTAAACATTGATCACACTGAATATGTTACTAGTTATTTTCTCTTGTCAAAATTTGAGTGCTGAATTGAGATGTTTCTTACAATGCCTAGCAATTAAAGTATGTTTCTGGAATTTCACCAATTCCTTTAAGAAAGTTAGAATTTTTTTTCTTCTAAGAGTAAGCAGAAAAATATTTGTTAACCTGCATGTTTACATATATATCTAGTCAGTTAATTATTTTACATTTGAGAGACAGGCCAGAGTACCCCGGAATTTCTTCTGCAGTGTTATAGAATTCCTGGAATGTTGAAGCTCTTGACCATAGTACAGCATTTCTGTTGAATTAGAGAAAAATATCTTCTTTAAATATTTGTCATGGAAATAATTTGAGTAAATTAGCTTTTCCACTGATTTCTAATAATTATAATAATTGAGTAGTATTCTAAGCTAGGTCAGAGATGATTTTTTTTTAAGAAATAAGTTCTGTAACAAGTGGTTTTCTCAGCTTTTCCATGTGATGAAATGTTTGTTCTTATTACTTATCTATGTGTCTCCTAAAATGTTATCCAACTGTATTTCAGGTTGCAACAAGGACAGTGTCCGAGCAGGCTGTAAAAAATGTGGCTATCGTAAGTACATTAAAAAATTGCATTTTGTACAGTGAATCATTGCCTCTTTGGGCAATATGATTTAGCATCCTGATTTCAGGGCCCTGAGCATAGTCCTTTAGCCCTGTTATTTAGCTCAGGTTTGCAGATAATTCAGAAATTCCTCTGTCAGCACCGAATACTCACTTTTCTTCCCTGCTCTGGACCCAGTGACAGGTGGCTATATATCTGGTGACTAGCAAAAATGTCGTGAAGTACAAGTGGAGGAGTAGATTTAGGAGTCTGGCGAAAGTATATTCCCAAAAAAAGTACATAGATATTTATTCTTTTATTCCTTATCCTTGTAGATACTAGGCAAAGAGATGAACGCAATGAAAACTATTTATGAAAGGTTTTGCTGTTTATTGAATTAACTCTTTATAAGGGTGAAATTGGTCCCAGAATTTCTGCTCACTGGTGAAACTTTGATTTAAACAATCAACCTCCATTATGATTAGTGAAATGGAGTGGAAAAGTAAACTTCAGCATCAGCAATTATGTAGTCTAAATTTGTACTTATGTAGTATAAACAAGTATCATTTCCCTAGGTAAATGTAACAATTCCTAAAGCCTTAATAACAGCTCTAACTGTAGCATTACACTGTTTTCTAAGTTGTTTGGAGAGCATGCAAATGAACCTGGATTGTTGTTAATACTCCCATTCATAGCAGTTATTTTGTAACGAAATAAAGCTGTTCTTGTACGGAAAAACAAATTTATTTTTTCAAATCATGTAATAAGAGAGCACTTGGGGCATGAATCTCCAGTAGAAGGGCTAAGAATAAAAGCATGCTAGGAGAACCAAGTCACATGCCTTCAAGCAAAGGCTGAAACCTGGCCCAGTTGAAGCTTGCTCAACTAGCAAAAGTGGACATATAAGTATACATATCCTTCATATAAATAAAAACTCCTGAAGAATGTGCTTGCATGCAAGAAATGAGTGCAATGATGTCTTTTCTGTTTTTTAAATTTGCTTATATTTATTTATGCTTTGTTTATGTTCTTTCAATCCTTGCTAACTTCATTTCTTTATTCAAGACTTAAGATTAGGAGTACATATGTAAGGAGTAAAACCACAAAGAAAAGCAAAGAAGACATACATGAGTGAGGCTAGTGGTTATCTGGGAGAAGTGGGGGACAGCAAGTGGTTTGTGGGGGGAGGACACACAGAAGATTAATTAGGGTTCTGGTAACAATCTGTTACCTAACCTGAGAGATGGGTATGCAGCTATTTACTTTATTAATTCTCTTTCACCTGTAAATATTCATTTTATATACTCTTTTCTATGTATGATGCACTTAATAATAAAGATTGTTTGAATTTTTACAAGAAAGTACTATATATATTGATGCTGTATTCACTTCACAATCTAGAATGGATCTCCCAGTCTGTCTACTAATATCAGTTCATCTACTTGGACTCCTTTTAACTTAAGACTTGTAGGAAAGAAATTAAAATCATTTTTTTGGAAATAGAATTCTTGTTGATCTAGTTTCCTCATTGCTACTTTATATTAGACAATAATGGAAGCATCTGTAGTAATTATAATTTATTTAGAGAAGCCAAGTAAGCAAATAGTTTTGACTGTCTGTGCAAGTTTAGTGCCTTCTGCTCTATTATTCAAATCTTTCTTTTGATTTTGGTGATTAGATTATAAACAATTTCTAATTTGTCTCCTGTGGAGAAATTTAGTAATATTTCCCTTCTGGGTTAAATTTACATCTTACAGCTGCTAGAGATGAAAGTCTTCTCAGTGTACACCTCTTTCTAATAGAAACTACATTTTAAAAATTATTTGTTATTTGGAGGCCAGAATCTTTGTGTTGCTTGTAGAGGTAAGACAAAGGTCAACAAAACCCTTCAAAATGTCTTTAATGCCTAGTAATTTTAATATTTGTCAGTGAGGTAGAAAAGAGTATTTTCTCTCTATCATTGTGAAAAGAGTGGTTTAGACTGTACACTTTTTAAAACTTTAATACTTGATTGAAAAATATTGTCAGTATGTTTCAATAATGGTTATATTGTTTTTTAAAAGTTTCAAATTAAACATGAATGTGTTGCCAGGTTAACATGGATCTCACTTTTTCATGGCAGAATTTCCTCAGCAAGGTTAGAAGAATGGTCATTTCTGTAATGAGTTTTTATTTGAATTTTTTTGAAGTTGGCAACTTCTGAATATTTAAAAGCTACAAGGACGCTAAGCCTTTGTCCATGCAATAAATGTCTCAGATAATTATGACAGTTCTCAGAAAATATGCTAAAATGAGGTTCAATACAGTAGACTCAGTAGTTGAGCATTTGATTACAGCAAATAGGAAATAAAAACATTTTATTTAACTTAAAAATGCTAATCTATTGATACAATATACAGTCATGACCTTTTCTTTGCCATGGGTCTGCTAATTGGTGTTACAATCTTTTGAGTGCAAATCATATTTGAAATGTATTTTCTACTTTTTGTAGTTTGTTTCTTCAAAGATGAGCAAGCAGTTAAGATACTTGTAAAGAAATCTGGTGCAAAATCCTTCTATCATTAGTTCTCAACTAGAGGTGGTACAGGTTCCCTGGAAATCTGTGAAGGTTTTTTTGTTTAGTTGCCCATAACAACTGTCATACCGGAGAAGAGCTGTATGACATTTAGTATGTAGGGTCCAGGAACTATAAACATCCTGTAGTGTCTTGGACAATGAAGAATTGTCTGGCCCAAAATGCCAATGACACCCGCTTTGAGAAAAAAAGATACCTTTTCTCACTGTTTTAGGGTTTTTTCTCCTATCTTTACAGTCTTCTTACCAAGACCTAATTTGAAAACTGCTTTTTTAAAGCAGTTCATCTAAATCAAGCCTTTCCAGAAGTACAGCTTTGTTTCATGGAAACAACTACTCTTTTTTTTTCCCACATTCATATTTTTTTACTTACATGATATTATATAAACAAACTTTGGAACAATGAATAACAGACTCTTGGTGGAGTAAAATATCAACAGATGGAGTAAAATAGATAGGCATGAGCTGAGGAAAAGATGATCAAGAAGGTACAGTGCCAGGAGAAGCAGGACTAGGCAGCATCATATAAGCCAAAGGAGTAAAGGTTTTCAAGGTTGAAAAGAAATGTCAGGTGTAACAGATAAGATTTGTGAGAAATAGATTGAAAAATGTTCACTGGATTTGCCAGGTAGAAGGCTTTGCTGACCTTAGCAAGATCAGTTTAAGTAGAGTTGTAGGTCATGAAACAAACTTCGTAGATTCAGGCCTGAATGGTGAGGGATAGGGCCTATGTTATTTCCATTTTTCAAGAAATTTACATGAGGAAAGTAGGGTACTGACTTAAGGTCCATATGGGCTGCTATAACAAAATAACACAGGCTGGGTAGCTTATAAACAACAGAAATGTATTGCTCACAGTTCTAGAAGCTGGAAGTCCGAGTGGATACCAGCATGGTTGGGTGAAAGCCCTTTTCCAAGTCACAGATTTTTGTTGTATCCCCAATTGGCGGAAGGGGCTAGGGATCTCTCTGGAGTCTCTTTTAGAAGGCACTAATCCCATTCATGGGGGTACCACCCTCAGAACCTAATCACCTTCCAAAGGCCCCACCTACTAATACCATCACCTATGGGGGTTAGAATTTCAACATATGAATTTTGGGGGGACACAAACATTCATATCATATTGAATAATTCCTAGAAGGGAATATGGGATAAATGGAGGGTTTTATATTTGAAGTATAAGATGTGTATATAGACCAAGTGGATATTAGAAGAGATCTTGTAGATATTGGAGATAGGAGAAGATTATGGAAGTTTCTCTTAAGAGGTATGACAAGGATACCTCTTAAGTCTGGAGGAAACTAGGTGAGAAAAATATGGTTGTTTTCAGGTGCAGAGACAAAGTAGAAGGAGATACTGCCTGTTAATCTTAATTTTCTTTGTAAATTAGGACGCAGGATCATCTGTTTTGGGAGGAGGCACTGAGTGGGCCAGGGAATGGTTGAAGAATGATTTAAGTCAGGCATTAGTTTGGAAAAGTCATTAAGGGAAATAGGAGAGGAAGTTGACCGAAGACAAACAAAAAATGAAAAAGTTTGTGTTTGTGCTCATGTCCATGAATGTGTGATTGTGTTCAAGCATTGTTTGGCTGCTCAGGGGTAGGCACAACTCAAAGAAAGGATAGCTTTGACCCAGATTAGTTGTTTTACAGTGAGGTACAGTAGAACAGGAATATGAAAGAGTCAGTGAGGCTTATAAAAGAGTGTTCAGATGGTCAGGAATGATAGACTAAGAGAAAAATGAAGGAATTAAGTGACTGAAGGTCTTAACGAGATTCAGAAACAGATCTGTGCATGGGTGTAAGGGAATAAGGAAGCTAGAAGGATAAAAGGTTATAGTCAAAGTACTATAATATTGGAGTTTAAAACTTCAGACATGATACAGTTCCAGGTGATGACAAGGAGCCTTGTGTGGCCATGGCATCTAGAATGTCAAGGAGCTGAGAAAAGCCATCCAAAGCCATAGGCTGTCCGTCCAGGCTATGGAAGGTCTTAAGGTAAAGAGCTAGAGTGTGAGTCAGGCTCCAACAATTTTGGTGGATGGGGCTGTTACACAGCAGCAGAGGGCTAGCTGCAGGGGAGCGTAGGGGACTATGTGGACTATGTGGAAGCAGTGTTGAGGAGCCTGGAGGATGCTAATAATACAGAGGTAAGCTGTAAAGAAGCGTCTGCAGGAAAGAGCCAAGTATCCCTTAAAAAAAGCAGTAGAGGGAGCATTCTGTGAACAGGTAGCACAGTTTGTTCACCAGGGATTGCAGGTTTCAGAAGCTGTCATAAAAAGATGGGGAGAGAAGGGGGTGATGATTAGTTAAGTCACAGGAACAGAAAGAGCAATGTGTGGATGAGACTTCAGGGAAGTAATATGAATACAGAGGCCTGCACTTTTGGGTGGGAACCAAAATGATAGGGATGTGAAGTTTGGGGAATTAAATGGGT